AAAACTGCGGGGAGCTCTGCAAAAAACGCATCTTCGCACGGGCAGCCCGTGCGTTGGCCAATTTTTGTAGTTGCTAAAGCTGCCTGAAAACTGCAGTTTGGTGGGCAAAATCCTTTACCGCCTGCCAAGTCTCGAGCAAAAATCAGCTTTGCTGTGTCTTGACTTTCAGTCACGGGTTCAAATTCAAAAGTAGTCTATGAACCAAACAAGCCCCTTTTCTACATTGGGCTCAAATTTAAATAAAAACCATGATTTAAGGATCAGAATGATACAAATTGGAAGCTTGTGGAAAAAGTTCTTGTAAACAAACTGGAAAACCTACAACTTGAATTGCCTCTTAACTTTTAGCCTCAAATTTTAACAAAAGGCCCGTGTTGAGACGAGAAACCTAAAAAACAGCTTTTAGGCCTGTGTCTTGACCTCCAGCTTCAGGTCCATATTCAAGTGGATTTTACGATTTATCGCCAAATAAATGCAAATCTGATATTTTTAGAATTTAACTTCTAAAGCACTACGTTTCTTAAGTTATCATTTCGTCTTCGGTATGTAATTATGTTCAATGCCTTTCTGACCTTTCTAAGAGGAATACGAGTAACCAATAATCACTAGCGCACCTCTAAATATAGTGAAAAAACGCACGTTTTTATAAAAAGAGCTCCTACGCACTCAAATGAATGGCAAGAGCTTATTGCTATAAAATAACTGTGCAGTTCCTTGCAAGAGGCTCCATTTCGTTTTCTTCAAATCAGATAATCGCCGTCCCATAACATCGCCGTAAAAAGCTATCACATATTAAAGATGTAGCATGGTTTTGTCGATGTTCTATTGGGTTATTTCGTGTACCAATTGAAGTCAAATTTGGCACATGACTCTTGGTATCACAGAATTCCCTACTGCCACTTTTGCTAGCTTGGAAAGCCCCAGTAGCGCGGTGATCTGTGGCGGGATGTCCAAGTTATGAGGTAAAGTTAAATCTGTTTAAATTCCGTGCAAAGACGACAATGACGGCCTCAGTCGTCCGTAGCTGCGAATCCGTGACACTGAAACAGTACAACAGTTCGATGTTACGATCGATTTTGGCACATTAAATAATCAACTGTGACACACTGATGGAGTTCCATGCAAATCTGTTCCTTTTGATGACTTAGCTGGCAATTTAGCACTCCCTGACATCAATTCAAACTACTGTTTTGTAGAGGAAGTCAAGAAAGAAGCTCCTGCAGAGGCTGTTGAGCAACCACCACCGCCGGAAAAGAATGTGGGCCCAGCTGAGACTAACATTTACATTATGGAGGAGAGCACTTTCTTCACAATCAAGGAAAAGGACAGTGAGGGTGAGGATGAAGATGAGGATGAGGGTAATGTTGAGGGCGAGAACGGCAATGAAGCTGTGAAACCCAGTGAAGACGAGCAACGCAGTTCCGACTCCAAGGTTACGCCGTCTAGTTCGTCCGATAAGCCGGAAGATCCCCAAGGCCGACAGGCAATGCCCACCTGAAATGTCGACGAACTGATGAAAAATTCCCTGCAACGAGCCAGAATTTGATTTAACTGCTTTGACTGAAGTGCACCAATAAAGCCATTTGTAGACTGATCGATTTGTTTTAAATCTTCAACCATCATATCTTTTGTATGAGATACATGCAGCATATAGAAAAACCTAGGCTGGAACGCACCAGACGGAACAGTGCGACCATGCATTTTTGCACTATTTTGCGCTACATTGAAGATCCCAAGGAATCGCAGTAGTTGGAATTTTGAAATACTGGGCCTCGAAATTTGGGGCGTTAATTGTGCAGCTGTGTAATGTGTTAGTTGTAGACGTTGGCTTCAGTGATCCGACAAACGGAATGTTGCTGGTACGCGAAAATGGCCCCACTAGAAGAGTTGAATTTGAAACCTTTTAGTCGCACTGAATAGGGAACATTTCCTTAAAGTTTCAGTTTTCCAGCTTTTCTGGTTTCCGAGTTAGCGATTTTCCCGCCAAAAGTTTCACTCCTTCGTACGCAGGGCCCAGACTTGTGTGAGGGTTGGTGCCGCGGCTCTGAGGTAATCCTTGGCCAGGGGTCCAACTGGCAAAATTTTGCTCCCAGAGCATGCTTGGTTGCCGAGCTGAAATATCCCGACAGACGCACACACACACCGGGATTGTCACAGTATGTGCGTTTTTGCATTTACATAAAACGCATCAAGTTTGGCGGTGCGATCATGCTTTTTTGCGCCAAACTTGAAGTAATCAGGTTAACAGCACGAATGGTTGTTGCCTCACACCTACCGAGTGCGAACACTGCCATAAATCATCGTAAATCTTGCATGAACGACCCAAACTAGAATGCACCAGATTGCCTGTGCGACCATGCGTTTTAGCACTAAACTCGCAGATCGCTAATAGCAGGATTCCTGCGCTGTAACCTAACAATTGGGCTCATGTTGGCCGTGCTTTGGCCCTTCCGACATGTAAGAGAAAGGGCGTCGGTTATGATGAAGGTAGTGCATTTTAGAGCCGCATGGACCTCCAGGTAAATGATTACAGTTTCTTGCATGAAGCCCAGTCATTTTTCGGTAAATGCTCGCTTTTTGAAACCCAGGATGGAACGCACTGGGCGGGCCCGTGTGATCATGCTTTTTTGCACCGGACTTGAAGTACTCAGGCTATTAACTGCATAAATGACTATTGCTTTACACCTACCTTTTGCGGTCACTAGCACAAATCATCATAAATTTTGCAAAGTAATTGTGCAATTTCCAGCTAGCAGTCGTTCTTTAAAAGTAACCTAGTCGTTCAGTCAGAAATTTTTTTGTCAAGACTTTTATGTGCCCGTACATAAGAACCACGCATACCTCAAGGCTGAATTTTAAATACTTAAGTTGTACTTAGACAGGAAACATTCCCTCTAATTTCAGCTTTCCAGCTTTTCTACTTACCGAGTTAGCAACTTCCCCGCCAAAACCCTCACATACCCGTACTTGGGTAATTCACGTGCCTGGCAAGCCGAATTTGAAATTTTTAAAATGCACGTGGGCAGGGAACATACACCTAAAATTTCAGCCTTCCAGCTCTTCTGGTTGCCGAGTTAATAATTCTCCTGCAGAAATGCCCTTGAGTGAGTGCCGTGCATAGGTTGGGGCTGAATTTGAAACATTTGAGTTTTACTTGGATAGGGAACATTCCCCAAAAATTTCAGCTTTCTAGCTTTCCTGCTACCCGAGTTAGCAATTCCCCTCCTCCCCGCCCCCCCCCCTAAAACTTTTATACGCCCTTATGTGACTACCACGCACACCTGGGGGCTGAATTTGAAACCTTCAGCTAGTGCATGCACAGGGAATATCCCTACAAAATTTCAGCCCCTTAGCTTATGTGAATCCCGAGATCACTTTCCCCCAAAAAATTTGCATATATTTTTAAAGCGTCCGTAAGTCGCGCCTAGGCGTAAACAGGGGATGATATGAAAACGGGAGGGTCGCACATGGTATGGGCACATACTCCGAAAGTTTCAGTCTTCTAGCTTTTCTGGTTCTCGAGTTGAAAATGGATGACAAAAGTACGAACACACAGACTATACGCACACACACACACGCACACACAAACAGCCTCTTCCCAATATGCGTTTTTGCAATTTGCATATATGCAAAAACGCATAAAA